CTGTGCTGAACTAATGAGGGAGAGAGGAAAAGCCTACCTCCCAGCTCTATTTCCGAGGTAATTATGCCTGATGATGATTTACCAGCCACTCCACTGTTCACACAGGCTTCATTTCATAGCAATCTCTCTCGAAAGGAAACTTAATTAGTCTCTGACCCCTGCTTGATGCTGAGCTTTGTTTTTGCTTTATTTTTTCTCCCGTGGTAGCACAAAATAACTGGCTGGCTCTTCCTTTTCTGAGTGGGGTTGACTCCTGGCGCACAAGCTGTTCTCTATCAGAGGCGGCTGCATTTCGGGGCAGGTGGAGCGATGGGGAAAGTCCGACGGGGCAGGAGGAGTGTATGGTTTTGTGTGCACTGGTGGTATTTGCTTTAAAATAAGTAAACGAATGATGAATTGACACTTGTAAAGCATTTGGCTTCTTACAGCAGAGTCCAAGCGACTGATCAATAACATATTTAATTGCATCCTCTTAAAAATTGTGTAACTCTGAAGATGTCCCAAGCACTTGGAAACTACCTTCTTTTTAAGCCCCTTGGGGGCTAAATTTTCCACTAAAGCCAACTGAAAAAAAAAAAAGTAGGTTTATTGCTGTCTGGACTCTCAAGCCTCGTCGTCAGAGGCCGCAACAGGTCAGGGTGTGGGCAGGTCTGTGGCCCATGGAGGCTTCCCGTGGCACCGGCACCAGCACCGGCACGGCACCTCCGGCGGCAGTTCCAGCCCGCTGGCTTCTCTCCGTCAGTGCCCCAGCCCCAGCCCAGGCATCTCGCTCCTGCCTGTAGAGACACGCTCTCCCGCCGGGGCCGGGGGAGTGCGAGGGGCAGGAGGTGTGGTGCCCAGGCTTCTGCGTCGGAGGCGGTTACCGGCAAGGACAAGGTTTCTGCTGTTGCACAGCTGAGTTTGTTTAGTTGTGCTTGAGTGGCTTGGAGCCCTTCAGCCCAGGCGCCTGGAGGCTGCAGAGGCCATAAGTAATAAAACAAATGCGTCCCTAGTCTCTGCCTCCTTACACCGGGGGATGAGAATGCAATGCCCTGTGCAGGGACGCTGAAGCAAAGGAGCGTAGCAAGAGGTGAGGTGAAGCCCCTGTAAGCCCTGCCGCCACGCTGAGAGACCTCTAAGAGCAGGGTGTAGAAACAAATGATGGTCGCAGGGGTATTTTTGGACATCCCTTGGTCACAGTGACATGACTCCACCATGACAACTGGCACAAAACGCAAGGCAATCAAAATGGGACCCGCTTCTGCATGGTGCAATGCCAAACCAGTTCTTATCCATTGGCTTGTTTTGGCTATAGATGGAGTAGGACTAGGCTAAGCAGGAGGCATTCGTCTGTAAGGTTACTGAAATCCTGTCCCAATCTATAGAAAGAGGGTGTGGAGGCTTCAGAAGATCGATCAGCCCAATGTGTGTGAGGGATGCACAACAGAGACTGAATCCTGCCTGAATCCAGGCACAGCTGTGAGCAGGGCTTCCTTTGAAAGCCTGCATGGGGTTGGTCACCTAAAATACAAGGGCAGAAGCCAGCCTCTGCAGAAAGGAGCTTCCTTTTTGGCTGCCACAGTCGTGCTGCAGGTCTTGCAGAGCCCCTGTGAGTAGAGGAAGGGAGGAGAGGTCAAGAAAGCTCTAAGGGCATGGGCAATCTATGGAGGGACGGGGGAGGCAGGGCTACCACTGCTCCTGGGCTCTGACAGGCTCAGCTGGACCCCCATGAATGGCAGGAGTGTTTTGGTGGTGTGGGGGGAGAGGAGAGGAGAGGAGTTGCAGTCTGGGTTGTGACCAGGGCTGAAGGATGTGCTTCAGGAGGGGCATAGGTTTTTGTGATAAAATGGGAGCAATAGGCACCTTTCCAAAGCTGCTTGGAGCATGGAGCAAAGTCCATGGTAGTGATAATTGAATACCTGGGAACTCGACAGGTCACGGCTAAACTGCAGGGTGCCCGGTATGTGCTGAGGAACACCAGGTACACGGAAGCTCAAGGCTGAAATCCCGGGACCTGGCCACCTTCTTGTATGGAGATTTTGGATAACGGTTGCAGCTGAAGCTCAGGTTTCCTCAGGAGTTTCCCTGAAGCCCCAGGAAACTGTATTTAGGTTGTGAAACTAACCTTAACCAGCCCACACAGAAGGCTCCTTTATCTCCAAACTGATTTGTGTCCACAGGCACGAGCTCATGGCGCCTGTCTCTCTAGGGGCTGGGAGGAGGACTGCCTACCAGTGTCACACCCCATGGGTGGTTGTGAGTCATACCGGCGTGCAGCTTGCTTCGGGCAAGCTGGCCAAGGTTTGCCTTATGCCTCTGTAGTCATGCACCTGCTCCAAGTGCTGTGCGAGTTGCTCTTGCTTAACGCAGCTTACCTCTGAGGCGTGAGGAGCCGGCAGCAGGCGGCTTCTCCTCTGAGGTACGTTGGAGGGTCAACTCGCCAGCTGCCCAGGTGTTGTCGTGGCCTTGGAGCACCTCCCCAGTCTCTCATCCGTGATGCCCATACTAGACCCCCTATGACAGAGAAGGGGCCAGACAAGGGATTGCCACACGTGGCATAGGGGAACGAAGTGGACACCGAGAAACGGACTCCCTCAGTGCCAATCACTTGGAGGCAGAGGGAGAATTCATACTAATACGGCAACATCATGACACTCATTCATTTATAGGTCTACAGTAAAGGCTCTTCCTTCCCTTTTCCTCTTCCCAGTCTCTCCGCTTCCCCCCACCCTGCAATCCCATTGGACTTAGGTAAGGTACTGGAGAGCCTTAAGTTGCCTAGAAGTTTGCCACTCCCCAGTGATATCTGTGTGGTGGTGACTGTGTCCAGCTTTCCTCCCAGCTACAGTATCCTTGGAGATGGGCTTGCCCCAAGAGAAGAGGCTTGTTTTCTCAGGCTGGCATGCCTGCAGTAATACCTGCCCAAGGAGAGGCAAAAGCGAGGTAGGTCCTGCCTACCAGGGAGGAGAAGAAAGCCAGCTTGTGGGAAGGCAAGCACATGGGCTGGGTGGACAGCCCATGTACAAGGTGTGAGTGCTGTCGTTACACTGCAGGGGGGTCTGTAGGAGAAAAAGGGAAGGAGAAAGAGGTTCCTGAGGTGTTAAGGAAAGGGTTGTGACTTTATTAATCACGCTTGGTGTCATCTGTCATGCTAGCCACATGGCACACTCAACACTGCTATCTCCATGGCAGCTGGAGCAGGCATGTTTTTCCATGTAGTAGTCAGAGTTCACATGCCTGCATTTGAGCAGGGAAGATTTCCTTGCTTTTTGGACTGCCCCCTGACTTGTGATGTCTCTTAGCCGGCAATAACAAAAGGCTTTTCGAAAATCTCCGGAGTTTGCAGCATGGAGGTCCATGAGCCCAGCAGTGGTCTCTACAGCTTTCAGATGAGTAGAGGACCAGTGTCGGTCTCAGGTTTGGCAGGCTCTGCAGTGTTGTATTACAGACCACATGTAGCAAAACATTGCCCAGACCCAGATTTGATCTGTGAGGCAGTTTTATGTGGCCCCCGGGAATGCTGGTTGGTCAACAAGTTGGTAGGGACAGAGCTTCAGGTTGACCTCATGAGCCTGCCATTTTCAAGTACAGAGCCATACAGCTTCAGATGTATTGGGCTGGCCTCCAACAGCCTGGCTGGGAATAAAAATGGCTTCTTACCTTGGAAATAATGGCCATTCCCACTCACGCTATCATGCGAAAATACTTATATGCTCTGCTGCTGGTATAATGGTGAGAGCACTGGAGACGCCTCATGCCTAACCCTCAAACCACTGCAGAAATGATGGTAGGAAATTCTGGTTTTCTCTCTGTCACTGTTGGAAGTCCTGCCTACCCTAAAAGGGCAGCTGCTGAGGAGGCTGAAGGTGGCATTGTTAGAGAGGTTCCACAACGCTCTATTCCTCAAGAAATGCCCCTTCATTGACAGCTGTGTCTGCCCTTATTTTCCAACAGCTTCTTTGAAGAATCCTAGAGTCAGTAACCCCAGTAAAAGAAGGCACTGGTGCAGGTACTCTAGGAGAAGAGGGGTGTTCAAGCTGTTTTCTGTTTCTGCTCAAGTTGGGTCCACTTCAGCCTTTCTTTCACGGCTTGTATTTTCTTAACCACCCAGCAAATGCAGCTGTCTCGGGGTTGGGCTTTTTTTCCCTCCCCCTCCCCATGCACACACGCGCTCCGTCCCTTTGAAAGAAGGGTTTCGTTGGCGCTGGCATCTGGGCTTGTTTCTCCAAGATGTCTCACACCTCTGACTAGTGCCTTTATGCTGCTCTCTCTGGAAGGGGATGAATTCAATGCGGGGCGCCTGGCCCCAGCCTGCAGGATATATCGCTCTCAGGAATTTTTTGGGAACGCCACTTGGCCCGGCTCCCGTGAGCCAGCTGCAGCCTGAGCAGCTCCCTCCCTCCCTCCCTCCCTTGCACCTGACTGGGAACGGGGGGCCCAGCTCCAGTTCCCGGCATGGAGGGGGAGATGGGGCTACTCTTAGCAAGGTGCTGCCAAGCCGTGAGCCATAGGTATGTGTGTGGCGTACAGCTAAAGTGCTGTGGTTGCCAGTTCAGTTCTGTGGCAGTGCTGGCCGAGAGGAAAGGTCCAGTGGGGTGGATAGCGTACTCTGGGGTAAAGCTGACTCTGGAAGAGGAGTGAGATGAGGGCACTGAGCTTGTCCCCTGTCCATCCGGGTGTAGCTGGTGTTTCTAGCCAGGTGGAAATGCAACCCTATGAGCTGAGGTTTGCATTGGGTACTATTGTGATGATGAAAACCCTACCCGAAAGGGAGCCGAAGACACTGGCTGCCCCCAAAGTGGTCCCAATCTTCTGTAGCTCAAGTGTCAAGGAGTGTTTGAGTTACCAGGTTCGCACCTGGGGAAGTTTCTTCTCTGAAACTATATGAAGCAAGGGGTGGGAGGTGTACAGACAGGCTGGCAGGTTCTGTCTATTCTTCTCCTCAGAGATAATTTCTATTTCTGAGTGAAGCCTATTATACTGGTCTAACTGAAGACTGTCTGGTTTTTCCCAGGTTACATGAAGAATTAAAGATGGCAAAAAGTGATGATGGCATGCGCATCTTGCAGGGTCTATTAGTCTTTGGGAATGTGGTCATTGGGGTAAGTCAAGTGGGTCAAGTATGGGTGCAGGCTTCCTTCCAGTATGACACTTCTTAAAACAGCAGTTCCCAGCCATGAAATCCCTCTTCAGGTATGAAGTCCACATATAAATAGACCAGTAAAGCGTGAGAGGAGGGGTAAAGGAGAGCTGTGCTAGCTGATCAGTTGGGTGGGGAGGGGACAGCAAGGGACCGCAGGGGCTGATCCACAAGACCAACATGAGTTCTAGCAGACAAGCCCTTGCTGCTGACCAACATCTTTCCAGCCACCTCCCTCCATATAGTGATGGGAAAGGTTCTGTTAATTCTTTCTTAACATTCCTCAAGTCCCAGGCCTGACCTCTCAGGTCTAGGCTGGGTGGGTCCTGCCTGCAATTCTTCTGTGAAGGCACAATACAAGAGATTGTAGAGTTGGGCAGAGGAGGAGTTGAGTGCTCCTGTTTGGCAGGAAGTTGAATGAAAGGAAAGCGGTCTCCATCTTTTTCTGTCTCTGCTATTTCTTTGGGGAAGCTTGATCTAATGGACTTTCCAAACGTGCTTCTCAGATGTGCGGCATTGCCCTCACAGCAGAGTGCATCTTCTTTGTGTCCGATCCCTATGGTCTCTACCCTCTGCTGGAAGCCACAGAAAATGATGACATCTACGCTGCTGCTTGGATTGGCATTTTTGTTGGCTTTGCACTCTTTGCTCTGTCTATCCTTGGCATCGTTGGAGTCATTAAGTGCAACAGGACCTTGCTGCTGGTGGTAAGTATAGCAAAGTTTGCCCACCCATTGCTGGCAGACTGAAAAAAGTGCTGCCTTAGTTTCCCTGCTCACCTTGGTAATCACCTACTGAGCAAAGACAGCTTTTATTAGTGATGAGGAGCCAAAGGTTCTTCTTGACCATGGCTGTGGTCACAAGGTGACTCCTGTGAGGACACGTGCATGAGAATCTCCCGAACCAGGTTGAGGGAATTAATGGTGATAGCCACAGTGGAGGTTTAAGCTGACTGGCTTGACTCTGACCTTGCTCTGAAGCAATGCAGAAGCACTTTTACAATCAGATGTAGCTGGGTTGTGGTTTAGATCCTTGTTTCTCCCCACCCCTTACTGCCTTTCAGCTGTCATGTACGATTCAGTTCAGGAGCTGATAAGTAATGGCTTCTGTACAAGGCATTAGTATGTGTTACTATACCAAATATGGGTGCAGTTGAGAACATTAGACATCAGCAGGCAGGCAGAAATTACAGGGGTGGGGACGGAAAGCTTTGGATAAGCCAAGGACAATGTTAAGATGCGAACAAATCTCTGTACGATTTCTTACTTAGTCCTTCAGGTTGACGGTTGTGAAACTTAATTGGTGCTTGCATTAAAGATGAGTTGAACTGAAAACTCTGGAACTGGCTCTCTCTTGGATTAATATGGGATGGCAGGGTGCCTGTTTTAAACAGCAGACACTTAGAGACCTGAACTGTTGTGCCAGGGAATTCGCCATCAAACAGCTGATGGAAGAGAATTCCCTTAACTCTGAATTTTGGTGTCTTAGCTGAAACCCAAGGCTGTGGTATAGGAGAGGAGAGAGGGTACAAAGGGGCAGAAGCTGGGGTAAGAAGAAAACAGATGCCTTGAATCTGAGAACATATAAAATGTGGGAGGAGAAATAGAGGCACAAGAACTCAAAGGAAATATGGGAAAGGTTAAAGGGACTGTGCTGAGAAGGAAAGAGAAACAGTGAAATAGACTATGAGAGGTGATCCTCAGGATCTGTTTTCATGAAGGATCTTTGCTCACAAAGTAGGAGTGCTGAGGAAAGCTGACGATGCAAAATCAGGAGGATCTGAAAGACACCCTATATTGCACCTTCTGTGTCCCCAAAGTACAAGCTCTCCTGCTAGGAGTGGACAGCTTCTTGCCGAAAAGCTTGTAGCTGGCAAGTGGAAGTGGAAGGAGGAGACATGGAACAAGCATAAACTGCCAGTGGGATGCAACAATGAAAAGGGCAAATGTTATTCTAGGACATATCAGGCAAAGTATTTTACAGGTTTTACAGTATTTTACAGAGGCAGGGTGGTATTAATGCCATGAGGTTCTGATGAAATCTTGTCTGAGAGATGGAGAACAATTGTGGTCATACACCTTCAAGAAAGCAGATTGCAAACTGAAACAAGCACAGGGAAGGGCTACATGAATGTTCAAGGGAATGGAGAGAACTGAGGAGACTAGGACAGCCTGGCCTCCTTTGCCTTGAGCAGGGTTTTGGGCTTCATCTTGAAAAATACAGAACTGGAAGAAACTGTTTAACTGTTTCTCCAAGAGCTAACTCTGCTGTCTTTCTCCCACAGTATATTATTCTGATGCTGATCACTTATGCATTTGAAATGGCTTCTTGCATCACGGCAGCGACTCACCGAGACTTTGTGAGTATTGCTTTCCTGATGTTTTCTTGAAACCGCGCTGGGAAATACTGCAGTCCTAGGGCATGTGGCTGTCCTGCTCAGCGTAGTAAATGGCCTGTGTGGTGGTACAGTGTAAACTCAAAGGACTACTGCTGAGTTAGAGTAGCACCCCACAAGGAAAGTCTCCAACGTCATCCTTCCAATCAAGGAAATAACTTTGTTCTTTTTAACACAGTTTTGTTATTTTTAACATTTTAAAATGTTTGCAACCTTGCAGTTAAGGAAATAATAGTGTGGGTTAGCTGGATCGTCAATACAGTGTTTAGTCTTTCACCTACAGATTAATCTATCACATATGCAGAAGACAAATCTTCAGCATCGCCCCAGGCAATGTTACTTGTGAGGGAAAGATTACGTGGGTTATTGGAGATATTGGCAAGGGGGGGAAATGACTTGTGATGCTTTAGTTCCAAGCAGCATATCAAATGTAACCCATAGCTTCTGCACATCTCCTGTGATCTGACATCTGGTAAGGCCTGCTTAAGAGTCGTGCTCAAGAATCTATGTCTTTGTTGCTCCTGCTCCTCAAATCCTGCTCTTTAGTCTCCTCTGCGTAAAACTGGGGGAGACGCAGCATTCCTGTTCTCTAGCAAGACACTGTAACAAGCAAACCAACCCACCCCAAATAACTCTATATTTGCTTTACATGGCCACTTATTTACATAGTTCCTGCATTCTTCTCTGTTTTTTTTTTTTCTGTAGCTCACTCCGAATCTCTTCCTGAAGCAAATGCTGGAGAGGTATAACAAGTCAGATACAGTAAATAACAATGACAAATGGATGACTGAAGGGGTTACAAAGACATGGAATAAACTCATGCTTCAGGTAGTAATAACACTGAAAAATCTCACTAATTACTAAATGCTCTGCAGCCCTGGAATTTCAAGTTCTCCTTGGGGCCGCTTGGTAATAAAGAGGATAGCATCTGCCTTGAACCTTAGAGAAAGTCCTGCCATACTCCCCATTTTGCTCGTTTATCAGATGGCAGACTGTCAAAGGCAGGCACTTCAAAAATCTCTCCCATAAATCTGTGGTTAATGCCTAACCAGCCATGTGCAGGGCTGTGACCTGGGACCATAAAGACCGTTCCTCTCTCTCGCCCCGCAGAACAAGTGCTGTGGGGTGTGGGGTCCCTCCGACTGGCAGGAGTACACGTCCGCCTTCCGCACCACACACAGCGATGCCGACTTCCCTTGGCCGTGCAATTGCTGTGTCATGAATGCCAAAGAGTCTCCCGTCAACCTCGATGGCTGCAAGCTTGGAGTCCCCGGCTACTATAACAGCAACGTAAGATCCTCTCTGCTTTTTTCAGTTAACATACGTTGGTCAAAAACGCCTTGCTGGAAGGGAAGGAAACAGTGAATAGCCTTCCTCCTCCACTGTAAGCTATAGGTGTTCAAAAGGTTTCTGGAGGAGAAGCAATACCTGTAGAGTCCTGGCCATGTTGCTGAACACAGGATAGATTGTAATAAAGGCTTTCCTGTTGGAGAGAGAACTATTAAGAAAACTCTCCCAATGCCACCAGTAAGAAGTGACGTCTCCAACATGTAGATGGACAGTAGCTAAATCAAACTTAGCCCAAAGATCAGTGCCTACAGTATGAGTGAGCAAGTCAGCAGTTCTCCTCCTCAAGGTAAAACTTTTCAGTAGACCAGCTTGTCCTATTCAAACAGATTGCTGGGTCACGAGCATCAACTTCTCCACTAGCAAGCATTTCTAGAAGGCGTTTAAGCTTCCAAATTTGCCTGCAGCTTCTTGATTCTGAAGGTCAACTCTGTGTTGGCTGTGTTTGGTTATATATGTATACTTGGCAAGTGGATGGCACAGAAAGTTGTCCTTGAAGTGTCTGAGATGGATCTACTTTGTATTTGGTGCTAGAAACAGGTAAGCTATCTGCAAGTTGTCAATAAGTAGTGTAGCTCCGGCTTGTCTTCTTGAGACCCTATAAGCTACCCAAATTGCAATAGGAGAGGAGCATTCCACCTCAGTCTCTCTCAGAGGTGGATAAGCTTGTTGTCTTGCAATACAAGCTCAAAGCTGGTGTTGATCCATTCACGGTTGTCTTACAGGGTTGTTATGACGCTATTTCTGGGCCAATGAACACACATGCCTGGGGTGTTGCCTGGTTTGGTTTTGCCATCCTCTGCTGGACTGTGAGTACTTAATATTTGCCTTTATTTCCGCTTTTCTTTTCTTGCTATTCCACACCCAGCTGGGTGGAGGTCGATGACAGGACTGACGCATTTAAAATGTCTTTAGATTATAGTTATTCATTCGTCACCAATCTGCCTGCAGCCTGTTCCACTAACAGGGCTACATTTGCGAGTTCCCCTCCATTCTGGCTTCCACAGGAGAGGAGCTCGATGGCCTTCCAGCCTGCTGTGGCCTGCTGCCATCTCAGCAATACAACACAGCAAGCACAGCTTGCAGATACTTTTTTGTGAAGGGTATTGGATCATCTAAACAGTAATCATGACAGATAATTCAGTTTCTAGTTTGAAGAATTTACAGGGCTACATTTGCGAGTTCCCCTCCATTCTGGCTTCCACAGGAGAGGAGCTCGATGGCCTTCCAGCCTGCTGTGGCCTGCTGCCATCTCAGCAATACAACACAGCAAGCACAGCTTGCAGATACTTTTTTGTGAAGGGTATTGGATCATCTAAACAGTAATCATGACAGATAATTCAGTTTCTAGTTTGAAGAATTTGTAGTTTTATAGCAGCTTCATGACAGATAATCCCCAGTGAGCTGAGTGATCCAGTCAAATAGTTATGGCTGCACATATCTTCTTTCTTCACTGTGAAGCTTCTGTGCAGATAAAAAGCTTTAAGCTTCCTCTGCCTGAACGGACTTTGCTTATCAAGAACTTCTGTCGCTCTCTCCTACCAGTATGACTAAATGGGGCTGGGGGAGAGGTGGGGAGAAGGAAACGGGGAGCAGAGAAACTTAGAAGTCTTGTCGTTTCAGTTCTGCGTCCTCCTTGGTACCATGTTCTACTGGAGCAGAATTGAATACTGAAGGCCCGGTGTCCTCAGCACTGTCCTGAAGCACCGCGTGAAACTGCATTTGTTCGTCTTCCGCTCCATTCTCCTTGTGCCATGGAGGATTTGAAGTTTTCCTACTACCTCTCCCATATATACTTTTGCCCCTCCAAAAACTTGACACACAGAGCTGACGACTCCAGGAAAGAATCTTCTTGTCCCTTCTTTGCCCCTTGTTCTGCAGCCTTAATGCCTCCTGGCTGATGCACAATCCTTCTTTCAATGTGCAAGAAATCCTTGGAGCATAAGATAAGAAGTGATCTGGTTTGTTCTGTGATGACATCAGAAAGGAAAATGTCCATATACGCTTGCTCCAGAAAAATCTCTCTCTAAAACTAGGTTGAATGTAAATCATAATGCTAAAAGCTCCAGCAAGGGCTATGTTGAGCAAAACCGTAACCTCCTGTGACCGATAAAGACGAATGCTGCAAGGGAGAAGACTGCAGACCTCTCTAATATACTTTAGCATTCAACTTCTATTCCTGGTCTCTGTCACCCCTTGCCTTAGAATAAGGCAGATTCTCTCAGAGTTTAAGTGTGTCAGCAGTAAAGACATGTCACAGATAAAAAGTCTGGTGCTAGTCAAGCCCAATAAAAGGCTAGCTCACTCCTCAGCAATACGCTGCCTATATTCAAGCCTACCTCCTGTCACTGATGAAACTACTGCATGCGCTCCTACCTTCAGAACTGTCCAGAAAAACCTCCTCTTGCTAACAAGTGACTCCTTCAAAAAGCTGTTATGTACTTCACACAAGATTTCACACATCTGCGGGCTAGAATTTGTGCAGAACACAAAGGGTCCTGTGCTGTAGTTGGCTTTGTGAAAGCGGCTGTCCCACGCTCCTAGATTACTATGCTTCTGGCTTCAGCTACCTGCATATATATGGTCACATCCCCTGTGCACTCCCCTTCCACATCCCCAGATCACATAGGAAAATGGCAAATAATGGCAACGAGTAGCTCTTGTGAAAAATGCAAGCAAGGAGCTTGCTGAACCAAATCTAGTCCTTGCATCAGCAGTTACAGTTCTCACGCAGTTCAATAGAGGCTGTTTACTTTGGCCCAGACTGATCTGGTGTCTTTCCTAGTGAACACTTCAGCAGTTACATGTGTTGTGTGAAATATGCTCCTGTACAGAGCGTTTTAAGGTGAAGCCTTTTCCAAATGTGTACTGGTTCCGGTCCTGACACTTGCCAGCTGCCTTGATCTTTGGTTTTGTATATTCACCAAAATACTAATTAAAAAGAAGTGGAAGTGAATTTTTTTTCTTGTTCAAGATTGTGTGTTTGGGAAGGGGAAATGATAAAGCTCTGTATCTGGGACATCTGGGGCAGTGCAAAGGCAGGCTTTCAAGACCTGTAAGCCCATCCTGAAGATCTGAGTGCAAAGCACCATGATGCACGGTGCTACAGAAACTCCGCAGCTGAATAGTCCCTTGCTAAGGTACTGGGAGAGAGAAAGAGGCAGCTATGAGGGTGAAGAGCTTCAAGGAGAAACAGGTCCCTGCAACACAGAGGGGTTTTGCTGTATAAGTGTGCCTTCTAAAAGGAAAATCTCCATGGATCAGCCACTCCTCTGGTTCAGTGGGGTGGTGACTGACTTGGAGAGCCTGAACTCTCAGCAATTTCCATGAGGAAATTAATCTTCTGCACTTTTTTGTGAGACTCGAGGACATGGATAGACCATAGAGACTGTGTATGGTCTGGGTTTGGTTTTTAATTATTTGTGTGTGTGTGTGTGTCTGTACGTTGCTGAAAGCTACAATAATACCTAAATCTAAAGAAATATAAAAAGCAACAACGTCCGCTTAAGTTAGGCAGCAGTAGCAAATACTGGGTTCTCTGCTACTTGCTGTGAACTGCAAATGCCTGCCAACTGCAACAGGAGAGAGGAGAGAAATGGGGAAGGCGGGACGGTGCAGGCACACAGCCTCTGTCCTTGCTTGGCCAAATCCCTCCAATAACTCCTCAGTCGTGGCAGCCTTCGTGGGTAGCTGCACACCCGTGTAAAGGTCTTTTGCTCGAGTTATTCCTGAAACTCAAGTAACTCTGCAAATGGGTGAAACGACTGGCTATGGGACTTTCTAGAGACTAGCAATGCCTTCTGCATACAGATGTGGCTGGAGATATGGCCTGTAGAAAACTTTAGGACCACAGAAGCAGGTAATTTCAAATATTATTTTCCTCCCTTTTTGCTTCAGACCCAGAGGTCTCTTCCTTCCTGCTACATCTAAATGTGGTGTGATTATAGCATTGTGCTCAATATAGAGAAAATGCTGCAGGACTTTGCAGAAGAAGAGGAACTGAGACTACTTTGAATAGAATATTGCAGTATTAACTGCTCCAACCAGTTGCAAATTATACCATTGACCTATTGCATAAATGGCAGCTTAAGCCAATTAAGTTTGGGTTCTTCAAATTTGCCTTCTGCTTCCTGAGCCTTTCCCTCACGTGGCACATTATGATTTATGTTTTACAAAAATAAAAGCTGTGATGAGCAAGTGATCTGGGCAATGGTGGATCTATGCAGAAGTGCCAAGCATGCAACCAGAAAAATCCAGCTTTATCCGCCTGAACTAAGGAGGAAGAAGAAGACTGGACTGATGGCAGAATGATGTTGAGCAGGCTTGTGAAAAATCCTGCACAGCTTTTTCTGGTTTTTCAGCTTCTGAAGGATGATTCCAATCTCTGCAAGGGAGACCTGGGATCCAATCTCTGTAGGGACCTGGGATGCTAGGGGAGGGTGAGGAAGGGATGGAGTCCGTGACAGGAATGCTGGTGAATGCTGGTGTTGGCTGAGGCTTGTAAAGATATCCTGTTCATTCTTAGCTGTTTGGATTGCTGCCATGTAGAAGGTATGGATGTAAGTGGACTTCAGAGCAGGCAATACGCATAGATGCATAAAAACTGCTGGACTAAGACAGGCTGAAGAAAAAAATTCTCCAGGTGGATGCTATGTGGTGTGTTTGCAGATTTGCTCTGTGTATTTCTTCTCTGTAGGTGTGAATATTCACAGTCCTTTCCTGGCAAAAAAAGCATGTTTCAATTCTCCGACAGATTTACCAACTGTATTTTTAGATTATTAATTTATTGTCATATTCCCAGCTCTGAGAAATCAGAGTCTCGCTGAGAAACATCCTCTGTTCATACTTGACAGAGCAGCGTGGCCTCCAAGCCAACAAGAATCCCAAACCCTCAGCTGCTCCCCTCCCGTACACACACAAATACAACCTGATGTCTTTCACATTCTTGAATGTTTGTGGCTGGCAGCACTGAAGGTCTCTGTTCCTTCAGGCAATGGGGCAATGTGGGCTGCCGTTCTGTACTCTGTGCCTTGCCCCCATTTTTCCAACAGGCTTTGCTACCCCTTCCTCCTTTCCCCTCACTTCTTCTTCTGCATAAGATCTCTTCGCACAGACTCTCTCAGGCCCTATTTCTCCTTACCTTGATGGTTCATATATGACATACAATGCCCCCTATGTGCCATGCTTGCATCTGGCTACCCACCTCACTGCGAAAACCAGCACCAGGCTGTCAGTGGCGTTCGCTGTCCCCTGACTGATTTATTTCCCATCCTGCTCACTGCCCTGGCATCTTAGCTTTTCACATTCCTTACAACAAGGACTTGTGCCAAGCAAATGTTTATTGGGACCAAGCATGACCTAAAACTAGCTCATAAATGAAGCCTCCTTCTCCGACGCCTTGGCAGCCCTGCCCTCTTCAGCAACTGGGGAAAGCCTCTGCAACGTATGGTATGCTGGGAACCTCCTGCAAGAACTCTCCCTGTAATCTCAGGCATCTATCTTTAGGAGATCCTGCTGCATGAGGAGTTGAGGATGACTGCTGAGGGTTTATCCTCAGCAAGAAAAAAAGGTGAGGGTGTTTCTGACTGTGTTAGCTTGCACGCAAGGTGAAATTCCAGCATAGACAAGGTCATCTGCAGTTCTTGCACAGTCACTAGTTGAGATAAATTCTGCAAGAGAGCTAAGTGATGAGCAGTGACCTGCTCTGGCTACCCAGAGCTGTTACTGACTGTGCGTGAAGGCAGGATTGAAAACCTTCCCTCTCTAAGAAGATGTGCTTTGGGAGAAAACAGGTCTAGTTTTAAGATGTATCTGGACCCAAAGTGCATCACGTAATTCCTGTGTATTTTCTAGGTTTGCAAAATGTAGTTCATCTCACGCTACAGTTTGCAAATAAGACATGAGAAAACAGCTACCCTTTTTTATTAAGGACCAAACATTCTTGTTTTAACACTCATACTGTATCGAACTTTTGGGGGCATCAGGACTGAGCTTCGCAGCTCCCATTAATTTCTAATCCTTAGCTCTGAAACTGTTCATCCTTTACCCTTGTGGTGAGACATGTTCTTTGAAAAGTTTATCCTGCTCACACAGAAAATTAACTCACAGGTCTCACTGCCTTTCTCTATCTTGGCCATTATGATCCTGTTCTTTTTGCTGTTGTTCATGCCTTGTGCCAGCTTGGCCTAAGTCTCCCCCACTGGGCTAAATTTCCTTCCCTGCACCGCCCGCCTTCCCTTTGCTGCCAGTTCACCTTTAGCTCCATCCAGTGGGATACCAGCTAGACGTGTCCTGTGTCCCTGCTGTTGCAAGGAGGTTGCATGAGACACCTGTATCAAATGCTCTTTGGCGCTGGGGTAGATTGTTTCCTGGTTAACAGCCAGTTTGGGAACTTGCTTAATCCTGGTTTTGGCTTAGCTGAAAGTATCCAAGATGTTATAGCTGGTGCTTCCAGTACAACCTACACAGATGTTTGTCCTGAGTCAGACTTTCAAACTCGTTGCGATGGGAAAGCAGGCAAAAGGAACTGGCTGAAATTGTGTTCAAGCACTACCACGTGTTTAAGCACCCTGATTTAGTGCACAGTCCTGAGTGGAGCATGGCCAGGTCTGCAGTGTGCCTTTTGCTTGATTTTCATAACCATGGGAATGCTGGGGGACAGTTTGAGATTCTCC